TGATATATCATTTCCCATCCTTTTACTTTTAGCCTGTTTATGTCCCCATACTTCAAGTGAGTTTTACATAGACAATGAACATTAGTGTCTTGGTGTTTGAGTTAAAATGATAATCTTATAATTGGACTATTTAAGCCATTTAATTTAATGTAATTATTGACAGAGTTGGGTTTTATATTTACCTTTTTGTTTCCTATTTTCTCACTTGTTTTTTTTTAAATTATTTTTATTCTTCCTTCTCTTGAGCTTTATACATCTAAGCAGTTTCTAGTTAAAGAATGGTAGCTTGCAAAATAAAATTGTGATCTAAAATAATTCTCTTTTTTAATTTATTTACACATGACAGTACAATGATCTTGACATATCATACATTTGAATCAAATGGGGTATAATTTCTCATTTTTTTGAGTGTACAGGTTGCAGAATCACATTGGTCATACAGTCACGTATATACATACAGCAATACTAGTGTCTATTTTATTAAAATGATTCTCTTTATTGTGATCATTTTATTGTGAAAAAGTCAAGCATTTGGATACTAAGAAATCATTCAGAAAGAACATATTTGATTCCTCAATTAAAAGAAGAATACTTCCCTGTTAGTACAGCTTGGAAAGGAAACAAGTAGACCTGCAGGACAGGAGTAAAGACCAAGAAGATGTAGAGAGAGATGGATGTAGATAGAGATGTACACACAATTTTGACATTTGGATCCCTAGGTTGGAGTGTACATAAGACTTTGCTCCAAGAGCTTTCCAGTTCATTTCCTGACATAGCATTACTCTTTCAGAAACTTTATTTTGACTGTAGCACATGATAAGACATACTGATTTTTCACCCTGTTCCCCTTGCGCATTTTTCTTTAAATGTCTTACACCCTGTCTGTCTTTCCCCTCATGTCTCCTGGAGGCAATACCACAAAGTTCTAAGTTGAAAGAAAAAGAAGCACTGGTTCTTACTTACTCTGAAGTAAATAATCAGAGAAAATAATAATTTTAAAAACAAAAATGGACAGAAAGAAAAACAAAAGGAGGCAGTTAGAGCCAAAGTCAATTAACAACTTTACATGTGTTATTTACCTCTATGAGGGACTGCAATTCCATTGGCACTGGAATCGTGCAGAAATGTGAATGCTCTCAAGACACTGAGGCACACTGCTCAGAAATGAGAGGAATGGGGATTTATCAAGCCTTCCCCAATGGGCTGTCCGTCCACAGTGATGATTTCTGAGGTCTACTTCATTTGGATAAGCTTTCTGACTTTATGTATTGATGCATAATGCTAAGTGAAGGGAGAGGGAGAAAAAATAATAATAAATGACTTGTGGGCTATATCATATGCAGATAAAAGGAGAGCCCATGAACAGAATGTCCAAGGTATCCCTAAAGTACAGAAAGGTAGGCACATACATATCATGTTATAAAATGTATCTTCAATATTAAAATTAGTCGTATTATTAAGTTGCCCAATTTAACTGCTAATTGAGGTATTGCTGAGGAACTCCACTTACATCCTCAATGAATTTCTATTATTTCTGTTTCTGAAGGTCACACAAGAGGGAATAATCATCACAAGAGTGTTTTTCTAATTACATTATTTTCTAGAAATGCTTGGCAACTTTACATATATGACAACCACTTTAAAAAAATGCCACTAGAACTAAGGAGTTTAAAACAAAACAAAAAAAATGTCAACTATGGTTCATAAAATATGCAATAAGGTGCTTGGAGTAAGATTGAAAAATAGGAAGAAAAGGTATGCTCCCAGCAGACAAATTATTGCTGACATTTTAAATAATACCAAGACCTCAATCCATTTTGCATGTCAAAGAATAGGCATTTAATTTGTTCAGGTTACTTGGTTAAGTCTTATATTTCTTATGGAACAAGTTCAAGGATATTTAAAATAAAATGAAAATCTATATTATTATAGAAAGGGAAGTGACTGATAGTTGACTTTTCCAATCAGATTAAGGTAAGAAAATTACACGCAGTAAATGAGTCCCCATCATAGTTTCATTGATACAGCTTTTTTTTTTCTCTTTCAGAAAATAGAAAGAAAAATCAAAATATTAGCCAACTTGTACTTATAGGTTATCCACCTGACTGTACATAAAATTAAATTCTGTATTTCTACTTGTCCTAATTGGTGAGGTTTAACTAATTGTAACATCTCTGAATTTTCCTTAAGATAAATTCTATCACACTGAACTGCTGATGTTTAATGTATGGAGGTCATCTAATGTGTTACTGAGTCTCTCTCTCATGGCAAGAGGTATAGACAGAACTGCATTCAATATGAAATACAACTCCACAGATCAAGTGGGGTTGACAATATTCCGTTACGGCATTTCACTTATATGAACATTATATAACTGGAGTATATAAAGTTCAGTTAGCTTGAAAATTTTCAAACTTAAGAGAATTTGTGCCCAGCACCGTGGCGAATGCCTGTAATCCTAGCAGTTTCTGAGGCTATGGCAGGGCGATCAAGAGTTCAAAGCCATAGGAATTCAGCGAGGCCCTAAGCAAGTCAGGGAGACCCTGTCTCTAAAAAGGGCTAGCAATGTGGTTCAGTGGTTATGTGTCCCTGGGTTCAATCCGTAGTATCAAAAACAAAAACAAAAACAAAAAGGAATAGAGGGAAAAAATTATAAATACCCTTACAGAACATCAAAAGGAATAATTTTTGCAATAATATTTAGTTTTCTTTAGTTATTTTGTAAGTAAAAATTTCCTTTTATGATATGGTTAGGTGGACAAGTCTTTCATACACTTTTATATTTTAATTCATGCCTTAATTCTTATGTAGAGAAGGAAAGAAAAGAGAAAGGGACAGATTGAAAGAGAGAGAAAGATTAAAATATGAAGTGGTTATCCAGAAACATGAGGCTCTTTGGAAAGGTATTTTAATTTTATTTTTTTCATCTTTTCTTTTTTTTTTTATAATTGAGGAAGAAAGCAAGCTAAGTTTTAAAAGAGTTGATACCTCAAGTACAAATATTACCTAAAAGAGTGAATTGTGCTGATCTAACCTAACCTGATCAGATTTTTTTTTTTTTAATATGAGGGATTGAACCCAGGGAACTTAATCACTGAGCTATATCCCCCAGCCCATTTTTCTTTTTTATTTTGAGATGGGTCTCACTAAATTGCTTAGGGCCTCACAAATTTGCTAAGGATGGCTTTGAATTTGTGATCCTCCTACCTTAGCCTCCTGAATTGCTGTGATTACAAGTGTGTGCCACCACATCTTATAGATTTTTGGATACCACTTCAGGATAGCTTATATTTGTGAAATAAAACTTACTAAAGCTTTTTTTAAGTCTAGAATATTATCTACCACTAAAGAGTGCAATCAATCACAATGGACTATCATAAGCTGTCTAGCTTATTTCTAAGTTATTATAGAAACATAGATATGTAAAATCAAGATAAATTGGGCCTTAGAATGCCTACATTGTTAACCATTAGACAAATAACTGAAAGCTTATTGTTATAGCAAAAAAAAAAAAATCTGAGTCTCAGCCAATCACAGAAGCATAGCTTTATTCAATCTCAGGTGGCCAACAGTTCAAACTGTGTTCAAATAAAGAAAGCATGGAGTTGTAATCAGTTAGCTGTTTCTCTACTTCATTTAAATTTACTTAAATGCTTTCAGATCTCGTTGTGACCCTGTGGCTGGTTCTGAGAGCTGCCCAATTCTAGAATCACAAATAAAAGTTGATTAAGATCAGTAAGACTAGATGCTTTGCAGGTTTGTCTTTTTATGGAACATTAAATGAATTGATAAAAGGAACAAGTGTATCTTCACGCATCAAAGATGAATGAGTTTCTCACTGGATCCTACTGATTTGTTAACATGGGGTGACAGTGATTCAACTCAGATTGAGGAAAGTCATGTTCAAGTTTGCTGAGCTTATAGCTAGGGGGCTTCTACAGGTTAGAGGCTCAGTGCCACAAGACTGTTCCTCACTTCAGATGCCAATAGAAAATTTCAGGTTGCAACCTATACTTCTAAGGACCTGCTGGAGTTCCTGTGACCACCCTCTTTGGAATGAATTAATTTGTCAGTGTGGCTCAGAGAATTTAGGAAACATTTTACTTATGTTAACTAACTTACTATAAAGGATATTGCAAAGGATGCAGCCAGAGAGCCGATTAGGTGAAACACATAGTGTGAGGTATGAGAGAAACAGCCTAGAGTCCCCTGCCTTCTCTCAACACACCAACCTCCAGGGACCTCCTCATGGTCAGCTGTCCAGAAGTTTTCTGCACACTGTCATTTTGGGTCTGTTTTATTCAGCTTTTTCATTGCTGTGCCCAAAATACCTGACCAAAAATAATTTTAGAGGAGAAAAAGTTTATTTTGGGGCTCATGGCTTCAGGGGTCTCAGTTCTTAGATGGCCTATTGTATCATCTCAGGGCCTGAGATGAGGTAGAACATCAGGGCGGAAGTGAGTGGCAGAGGAATACATCTGGGAACATGGCACCAGGAAGCCGAGACTGATTCTATTTTCCAGGGACAAATATATACCCCAAATGCATGCCCCCAATGACCTTCCCACCTTCAGTTATGACTCAATTAATCCTTATCAGGGGATTAATTCACGGATTGGGTTAAGACTCTCATAACCCAATCATTCCACCTCTAAACCTTCTTGCTTTGTCTCACATAGGAAATTTTGGGAGAAACCTCACATCTAAACCCAAACAGAACCTTATGGAAGTTTCATTACATAATTATGATTAATTAAACCATTGACCACTGGCTAGCAACTCCCACTTTAGCCCCTGTCCCCTCCTAGTTCTGTCTCATGACAGGGCCAAGAAGTAATGACACCACAGTAGCCAATAAACACACCCAGAACCCAAATTTTGGTTTCTAAATACCATTCTCTAATAAGAAGAGTTAGGACTGCTGAGATCACGTCCACCCAGCGAGTACAGTCCCCTCGCCGTTCCACCGCTGCCGGTCCGCACTGGCCACGGACTTTGCCATGGAAGACTACATCGATATCGCTGCGCTCGTCCTTGACAATGGCTCAGGCGTGTGCAAGGCCGGCTTCGCGGGTGAGGACGCCCCCCGGGTGGTCTTCCCCTCCATTGTCGGGCGCCCGCGGCACCAGGGCATGTTGATGGGCATAGGCCAGAAGGATTCCTACGTGGGTGATGAGGCCCAGAGCAAGAGAGGCATCCTGACCCTCAAGTACCCCATTGAGCACGGTGTCATCACCAACTGGGATGATATGGAGAAAATCTGGCACCACACCTTCTACCATGAGCTGCGCGTGGCCCCCGAGGAGCACCCGGTGCTGCTGACCGAGGCCCCACTGAACCCCAAGTCCAACCGTGAAAAGATAGCCCAGATCATGTTCGAGAACTTCAGCACCCCGGCCCTGTACGTGGCTCTCCAGGCGGTGCTGTCCCTCTACGCCTCTGGCCGCACCACCAGCATTGTGATGGACTCTGGCGATGGGGTCACCCACACAGTGCCCATCTATGAGGGGTATGCCCTCGCCCACGCCATCTTGCGCCTGGACCTGGCCGGCTGGAACCTAACGGACTACCTCGTGAAGCTCTTGACCCAGCGTGGCTACCGCTTCACCACCACGGCCGAGCGGGAAATCGTGCGTGACATCAAGGAGAAGCTGTGCTACGTGGCCTTGGACTTCCAGCAGGAGATGTCCACGGCAGCCACCAGCTCCTCCCTGGAGAAGAGCTACGAGCTGCCTGACGGCCAGGTGATCACCCTCGGCAATGAACGGTTCCGCTGCCCTGAGGCGCTCTTCCAGCCTCGCTTCCTGGGCCTGGAATCCTGCGGCATCCACGAGACCACTTTCCACTCCATCATGAAGTGTGACGTCGACATTCGCAAGGACCTCTACGCCAACACGGTGCTGTCCGGGGGCACCACCATGTACCCAGGCCTTGCCGACCGCATGCACAAGGAGATCTCAGCCCTGGCACCCAGCACCGTGAAGATCAAGATCATCGCTCCCCCGGAGCGCAAGTACTCTGTGTGGATCGGCGGCTCCATCCTGGCGTCACTATCCACCTTCCAGCAAATATGGATCAGCAAACAGGAGTACGCCGAGGCTGGCCCCTCCATTGTCCACCATAAATGCTTCTAAGGCAGACTGTTACTTTGCTTTTCTGGACAAAAACCTAACTTGCTCAGAAAACAAGATGAGATCGGTATGGCTGTGTTTGTTCTCTTTTTTTGTTTTGATTTTTACTTTGTTTTGTTTTGTTTGGGCGCATTTGACTCGGATTTAAAAACTGGAGCGGGAAACCATACAGGAAGGTGACAGCATTGCTTTTATGTAAATTATGAAATATGATCTTTTAAAAGTCTTGCCTTAATACTTTTTGAAATTTGTTTTATTTTTGAATGGTCAGCCGTCGTGATTCCCCTCTTTTTGTCCCCCGACTTTAAAGATGTATGAAAGTTCTTTGTCTTCCTGGGAGTAGAGGGATTACCTGTACAGTCTTGAGACCAGTTCAGTAAAAATACACACCTAAAACCAAACAAACAACCAAAAATAAAGAATCAGGGGTCCTCCCACAAATGGATGATTCTAGATCTGAGAAAAGGAAAATATATCTGGTTACACCAAATAAAAAGTCCCAGGAATGAAAGAAAACTTGGATGCAGGTCAGAATGCAAAAGCTTCAAAGAATGAACCACAGAATGAAAAAAAAACAAAATTGAATTATAACATAAGGAATAAAATAAACATAAGTCCATATTTGTAAATAAATTGACAAAAAACACAATAATGGAGAAGAATGGATATATTTTCCTTATATTAGAATTCCAAATAATAATACATTGGAAAATGGGGGAAATAGAAAATCACAATTATGATTAATAATTATTCCTCAGTAATTATTAATGCAGGCAATATACCCTGAGGAATACTCAAATTAGTGGGCAAAATTTTAGGAACATATAGGATATTTGCAGAGCTTGTAAATATCTCTGATCAAATGTGTAATTATTATTATTGTGGATTTAACCTATGTCTGCAAATTATTTGATATTCCCCTCTCTAGAAAGTAAAGATTAATTCCCTTCCCTGAGTGTGGGTTGGACTTAATCATTTCTATCAAATGTAATAGGGAAAGGGCATAATATTCTTGTTAAGAAATATGTGACAAAACTGCAAATAAATTACAGACACCCCCTTAACCAAGCAATCATATCTAATGTCATCAGTAATGAGCCAAGGGGATATCATGTCACAAATACTCAGATGCCCACTAGAAAGAGCTTCCAAAGAACAAAGCTGGAATAATATGAGCAACTAAAGTAACATGCATTGATGGTCACTTCTCTTCTATAGTCTTTTTTCCAAAAATCCATAATCAAAGTTTAAAAATCTCACTAGCCAAACCTACAATGAGGGGCAGTCAAAACACACATGACCAGTACTTTTAGAAGTGTCAAGTTCATGAAAGGCAAGGAAGACCATAAGAAACATCACAGATTGAATCTCATGAGAACTCAATGTGATATGACATACTGGATCCAATACTGGACAAGAAAAAGGACTTAGTGGGAAAACAATTGAAATCCAAATACAATGTGGTTTAGTTAACAGAATTTATATTAAGGTTTAACATCTTAGTTTTGATAAATGTACTATGGTTACTTAAGAGGCTAATATTAGAGGAAACTGGATGAAAGATATACAGGAATTTATTATCTGTGAAACTCTTCTGTAGTCTAAATTATCTACAATAATTTAAAAATAAAAGTCAAATTTAAAAAGTTACTTTCCAAGAATGCCTTTTAAACTTGTTCCAGCCCCCATGGGTCTTGTTCTCCAAACCCTTATTCTGATGGAGTTTTCTCATATTTTGTTGAAGTGTTCTACATTTATATTCATGGGGGATATTGATTGTAATTCCTTTTCTTATAGAGTCATATGGCTTTGATATCAGACCAATTATGTTTGGAAATTTTCTCTTCACTCAGTTTTTTGGAAGAGTTTGAGAAGGAGTGTTGCTAAATTTAATGCTTTTAAAAATTGTCTGGTAGAATTCATCAGTAAAACCAGGCCTTGCAAAGTCAGCGACAAATGGCATGAGTGGACATTTTTTTTTTTTTTTACTGTGTGTTCAGTGTACACTTCTCCTTAAAGTAGAAAACAATCCCATATACTTTCAGTGTAAATCACTGTTTCGTAACATTGTCACTATTACATCTTGGACCATATATATAAATCTTTTTTTGTAGGAGTTTGTCTGTATATTGGATTGTTGGTTTCTTCCCACAGCTATTAGGACCCAAATACCTCCAAACACTACTAAATATTCCTGGAGGGGCAAAATTTCCCCTCGGTTAAGAACCACTAATGGAAATTGACCTTTTAACATAAGGTTGTTTGTCAGTATTTCATATGAAAATAAAGTTTTGGATGAGAGTTCTTTCAAATTGAGCAGTGGTTATGTGCAAGAATGGTTAGCAAAACAGTTCTTGAAGGTGGAAATTTTGTCTATATTCATGTTATATACCCAAAGATTAGCCCATAATCAATGGGCAGGAATGTATTTGTGAATTAACCAAAATGTAAATGAAGTCAGAGAAGGTCTTTAGCTTGTAAACAGGTCTTAGTAGTTTTCTTTAAATTCCTTGTGAATGTATTCTTTGGGAGAAGGATTAGACTTCTATTTGACATTATGTTTGCATCCCAGAGCAGTCAATATAACTTGAGTCAAAGGAGTATCATTTAGATTAAGGAAATATGCTATATGATCTTTGCAGTTTTAATTCTATCAACATATCCTTTCTTCTCTAGAATAGGAATCTACAATCTCTTATTCACCATCATTTTTTTCTGCAAGCAAAGTGACTGCTAAAGAGTTGACACTTTTTTTTAAAGAGAGAGAGAGAGAGAGAGAGAGAGAGGTTTTTTTAATGTAATATATATATAGTTTTCGGTGGTCACAACATCTTTATTTTATTTTTATGTGGTGCTGAGGATAGAACCCAGCACCCTGCGCATGCCAGGTGAGCGTGCTACTGCTTGAGCCACATCCCCAGCCCCAAGAGTCGACATTTTAGATTACGTAAGTGCATGTTGGATAAGCTTAGAAATTTTCAAATGTAGTAGGCTTCCCATTATTATAATCATTTTGGCCCTCCATTAGTGATTACACAATGTGGGTCTCATAAGAGGGGAATCAGGCATAAGATTAGGGGTGAACTAGATTTGTAGAAGGCTATTTTTCTAGTGTGACAGTGAGCTTTTAGAATATCACTTAATTTGTGCTCTAATTTTCCTAATCTTTACAGGGGGTTTAGAAAAATCTGTGCTAAAATTTACAGAGAATTCCTGAAAAAATTAAGATCCACGTCAGGTGAGAAACTAGATCTCTCATGCTGGCAACATGACATAAACCTCTTATTAAGTTTTGAAGGCACTGGAAATTCCTTTCCTGTATTCTCCTTCCAGACATCCCACTCTGACTCTGCCCCGTTATATAAATTTCAGAATTTGCAGTTTCCTCAGACCTCAGGTAGGAACTCCCCTTTATTAGGGACTAACTGAATGAAGTTTTCTTCCTAAATGGTGGCTGATTATGATGCACCTTGGGGGGAATATGCCACAGAAGCCAAGCCATAAACAGTAAAATTTAAGTTGTTAAGTATTGTTGAAGTGTTGCTCCAAAGTGCCTTATGAGAATTCTGTATTGTGGTGTGAGCATTCTCGTCCTTGTGGATACATTCACAGAGCAAACCAAGAGCAATAATAGCAGTGTCTTCAGAGCTTTCCAGCTCCCAGAGCACTTTTATCTGGGGACAAAATGACACCAGTTGAAATTCCTTTTCTGGTGGAAATATTCTGTTATGAGAAGACATCCCCAGAGCAGCATCGACTGTCACCACAGAAGAACATTTTCCTTTTAAAAATAGCACCTGCTGAGCTCTTTTTAATCTGCCTGGAAATGATTGTGTGCCGTTTGGGCATTTGCCTGTTCACTTAATCTCCCATGCACATATTGCTGAACAGAAACGTAATTTACTGTTTTCATTTTTTCTTAATTTAAATATATTATCAGCTTTTGAGTGCAAACAGAAATAACAATTAGCAGAAAATAATGGTTGCAGCAAGCTAAAAGATCTGCAATGTAGACTGTAGTAGAGTGTAAAAAAAGTAGCTGCAATATTTTTCAGTGCCTTCTATTAAAAGATGGGATTTGAAATCCCCAATGAAAGATGCCACTGTTTTGTGGCTTAAATTCGCCTGTGTGGTACACTTGACCTTGTTCAGGTTTATGTGTAGCTTTGGCTATTACTACCTTCATATCCGTGTATTCTTGTGAAGAAGCTGAAACTTGAGGTCCCCATTTTTGCCACAGCTGACAACCTGCCAAATGTCTGACTTGGGAGTGAGTCCATTGTAGGTCACCCAACTGCCAGTCAATCTGCCAGCTACTGTCAGCTAACTCATAACCCAGCTGAGCTCAGCCAAAGGAACTGTCCAATCAACCCCCAGAATTTTGAGCTAAAAATGTGTGATGTTTTCAGCTACAAAATTTGAGTATGGTTTGTTATGTAGCAAAGGGTAACTGATACAGAAATGAGGCACTACAGGAACAGATTTAGATCTTATGTGGGTTTTTTCCCCCTCCTCTTTTAGAATATAACCTTACCTGCAATAACCTGAACTATTTTGTTCCTGGCTATATCTCCCAATATCTAGAATGGAGCATGGAAAAGAATTAATGAAATCAGTTTAGGGACAAATACTTTCAGCATGATCTTAATTCTACAAGATCCCATCTATTTAAAAAAATATATTTATCCTCAAGCTTTAGGTAGATACAATACCTTTATTTTACATTTATGTGGTGCTGAGGATTGAACCTGGTGCCTTGTGCTTGCTAGGCGAGCACTCAACCACTGAGTCACAACCCCAGCCCCAAGATCCCATCTTTTTATACCCTAAGAAAACTGTTTTTGAAGGGCAACCTCCACTTCCCAGTCCTACCAGAAGATCTCTTGTTGAGTACACTTTGAGTCTTTCTTTCATCCTGAGTTAAACCACACACAAGTTATCAGGCAGCCTATCCTCTTCTTCTCCCCCTACCTTCCCCTCTCTCCCTCTCCCCTACTCTCCCC